CCAAACAGTGTCGGCTGGCGACCCCCAGGGGGAGGGCCTTCTCTGTGGGAGCTCCCACCCTGTGGAATGAACTCCCCCCAGAGATCCGGATTATTCCGGATCTCCCCTCCTTCCGCCGGGCCCTCAAGACATGGCTTTTCCATCAAGCGGGATTGGCCTAGGGGGGGATTTTATAGGGATTTTAAAGGGATTTTATAATTGTAAACTTAATACAGGTTATTTAATATATATTTTAATTTGGCTTTTAGAGATATTTATTGTATTGCACTGTTTTTATTTACCTGTAAGCCGCCCTGAGTCCCTCGGGAGAAGGGCGGGGTATAAATGGGAAAAATAAAATAAATAAAATAAAAATAAATAACCAGTGGAACTACTTGCCACCAGAAGCTGTGAATGCTCCAACACTGGAGGTTTTTAGGAAGAGACTGGACAGCCATTTGTCCGAAATGGTATAGGGTTTCCTGCATGAGCAGGGGGTTGGACTAGATGACCTCTAAGGTACCTTCCAACATTATTATTATTATTATTATTATTATTATTATTATTATTATTATTATTATTAGTAGTAGTAGTAGTAGTAGTAGTAGTAGTAGTAGTAGTAGTAAGACATCACAAGTACAAAGTGATTCCAAATGGAGTTCCTGGGTTTGCAGAACTGATTTATTCTGTGGCCTTCCTCATCTATCAGTTTTGGGTTTTAGTACACAGGTAGTCCTCGCCTTACGACCACAGTGGAGCCCAAAATTTCTGTTGCTAAGTGATGCAACAGTTGTTAAGTGAGTTTTGCGACCTTGCTTGTTAATTGCAGTGGTTAAGTTAGTAACACCGTTGTGGAATGAATCTGGCCTCCGCGTTGACTTGGATTATCAGACGGTCGCAAAAAAGGGATCACGTGACAGATACACACACCCCGGACACTGTGACCGTCACAAATACGAGTCAGTTGCCAAGCCCCTGAATTTTGATCACGTGACCCTGGGGAGGCTGCAACAGTCATAAGGATGAAAACCGGTCATGAGTCCCCCTTTTTTTTTCAGTGCCCTTGTAACTTTGGTCACTAAATCAACTGTTCAAAGTCGAGGATTACCAATGGATCAATATTAATCAAAGTCAGGGGTAGGCAACCTTGGCTCTTTTATGACTCGTGGACTTCAACTCCCAGAATTCCTGAGCCAGCCATGTTGAGGGGAAAGGGAGAGGTTTCCAAACTGAGCCATGCTGGCTCAGGAATTCTGGGAGTTGAAGTCCACGAGTCATAAAAGAGCCAAGGTTGCCTACCCCTGGTATAGGGTATATATGGTATAGGACAGAGATAGGCAACCTTGGTTCTTTTATGACTCGTGGACTTCAACTCCCAGAATTCCTGAGCCAGCATGGGGGAAATTTTGGCCCCTTCATGACTGGTGGACTTCAACTCCCAGAATTCCTAAGCAAGCCATGCTGAGGGGAAATGGAGAGGTTTCCAAGCTGAGCCAGGCTGGCTCAGGAATTCTGGGAGTTGAAGTCCACCAGTCATGAAGGGGCCAAAGTTCCCCCATGCTGGCTCAGGAATTCTGGGAGTTGAAGTCCACCAGTCAAGGGAGACAAAAACCAAGTTGTTTCCCTTATGCCCAAATTTGGTACATATGAAAACATTTTGCATATGTAACGTAATGTGCGAACAACGTTGTCTGTTGTTTGTCATAAGGGATTGTGGCGAGGCTGCAACGGTCATTAAGTGTGAAAAATGATCCTCGGTGTTTTTTTTTAATGCCGTTTGCAACTCCAAACGGTCACTAAACGGATTGTTGTAAGTCAAGGACCACCTGTATTGCGGGCACCGTATTAAAAATATTTGCTCCGAGCTGATATTTCAGAGGATTTTACCTTCCAGGTGACATTTGCCAGCAATTTACGAGAGAAGTTTTCGACATGTACCAGAATTACGCCGGATACAAAGGCTGGACTTTTGAAATCACCAAGTACTGCCGAGCTGATTATGGTAGGAGAAGCACCTCTGACGGCCTCCCCCCAAAATATCTCCACGGGTCGCCTCCTCTTTCCCCCCACCCCAATGATAGGTATTTTGCTTTTTTTAGGGGGTCTCCACCATGCAGCCGCCCGCATTTTGGGAAGCCAGGTCTACAGACAGTTGAAGTTTGAAGGAGGGACCCACCGGGTGCAACGCATCCCCCAGACTGGCTTGTCGTCCAGAATGCAGCGGATCCACACCGGCACCATGACGGTCATCGTCCTCCCTCTGTCCGAGGAGGTAGGTGTGTGCTCACGGCTTTTAGTCCTCTCTCTCTCTCTCTCTCTCTCTCTCTCTCTCTCTCTCTCTCTCTCTCTCTCTCTCTCTCTCTCTCTCTCTCTTTCTTTCTCTCTCTCTCTCTCTATTTCTCTGTCTCTCTCCTTCTGTTGAAGGCCACGTCTAAGTTAGCATCAGATCAATTCTTTCCATAGCTATGACTCCATCTTGCAAGAGGCTGCAAACATATCCATGTTTTAGAAGGAGGAATTTCATTTATATCTGTTGCTGGATCTCCTTTTTCCCCTCCCTCTTTTCCTTTATCCTCCCTCCCTCTTTTCCTTCCTTTCCTCCTTTCCTGTATCCATCTTATTGTCTTGTCTTGTTCCTTCCTTCCTTCCTTCCCTTCCTCCATATCCCTTCCTTCTTTTCTTCCTTCCTTCGTCTCTCCTTCCTTCCTTCCCTCCTCCCCTTCTTTCTTTCTTCCTTCCATTCTTCCTTCCTTCCTTCCTTCCCGTCCTCCCTTTCCTTCTCTCCCTCCATATCCCTTCCTTTTCTTCTTTCCTTCCCTTCCTTCCTTCATCTCTCCTTCCCTTCTTCCTTCCTTCCTTTCTTCCTTCCCTTCCTTCTTCCATCCCTCCTTCCTTCCCTCCATATCTTCCTTCCCTTCCCTCTCTATTCCCCTTCTTTCCTTTCCTTCCTTCCTTCCTTCCTTCCTTCCTTCCTTCCTTCCTTCCTTCCTTCCTTCCTTCCTTCCTTCCTTCCTAACATCCATCCATCCCTCCTCCTCCCCATAATATTACACATCAGATTTCTCTTTCTCAAGGTGCAGATAAAAATCAGCCCCAGCGATTTACGGATTGATACGTTTCGAGCCAAAGGTGCCGGAGGACAGCACGTTAATAAAACAGACAGCGCTGTTCGAGTTGTGCACATCCCTACAGGTAAGATGTTGCTGGATTTTTTTTAATCATTTCCTTATTTGTGTAGATCTGTATAAATATTAGTCCAGTGTTAATGTCCTAGCTCCTAATATTCTAATAGGCTTTCCCCCCCCCTCTTAGACCTCAAGGTTAGCTGTACGCCTTTACTTTGTTATTTATCGCCTACACAAAATTGTGCCTTATATGTGTTTCCCCAAGTTATCTTAAGACCAACATGTTCATGGTACAAAAAATACATTCTATGCGAGAAAAATGATTTTTTTTTCCGGTGAAACCGGTCTAGTAGAACACCTGGTCTACTGCTATGATTACTTTTGCCTTTCAGCCCCAATCTAGGAGCTACTGTGATAAACTATTTCTGTGTTAAATTTTAGATCTTTTGCTGACAAAGAATTAAAGGGAGACTAGTGTAGCTATTTCGAGCTATTTAGCTCTCATCAGCTAGCCATACCCTTCTGAGATTCGAACCCGGGCCGCTTGCATGTTAGGCAGCCTAGAGGTTAATACAGCTGCCTAACATGCAAGCAGCCCAGGTTCGAATCTCAGAAGGGTATGGCTAGCTGATGAGAACTAAACAGCTCGAAATAGCTATACTAGTCTCCCTTTAATTCTTTGTCAGCAAAAGATCTAAAATTTAACACAGATATACAGAGGACTTTTGGGTGTGAATTAAAGGGCAGAGATGGTCTTGTTAAGTCTCAGAGCTTTGCAAAAATTACTTTGTGGATGTCGGTCGGATCCTTTCTCGTCTTTTGAAGGGATCGTGGTGGAATGCCAGCAGGACCGGTCTCAGCTAATGAATAAGGAAACAGCCCTGCAGACTCTGAGAGAGAAGCTCTACTTTCAGACTGTGATGAAGGAAATAAACGAACAACAAAGTACGAGAAAGCTGCAGGTAAGATCCTATTTCCCCCCCCCTCTGAATCAGTTGTAGGGATGAAGACGCCATAGAAGAGAGGTCTCTGGAGATGGTCAGTCCTCCAGGTCCTGGTTGTCCCAAAACTGTTTTTTTCAGGAGGCAACTGGACTTTCTTGTTTTGCTTTGAAGATGTTTCGCTTCTCATCCCAGAAGCTTCCTCAGCTCTGACTGGATGGTGGGGAATGGAAGGATTTATACTCCTTGCAGACAGCTGGTCATTTGCATTTTTTTAGAGAGTCGTTGAGGCCACTTGGTGGTTTGTCTGTGTTTTCAGGGTCACAAGTAGTGCAAACGGGTGTGGAGCCTTTTTCGGATTGCTGAAATCCATCGGTAGCAATCGTGACCCCACTTGGTAACGTTATCAGGGCTACAAGGGAGTGGGGTTTGCAGAGAGGAGGAGAAGGAGGACAATTGTGGGTTCCTTGGTGCTTTCTCGGCTTCCTTGTGGTTTTCTTGCAGACCTTTCACGACCTAACTAGGTAACATTCTCAGGGCTGAAAGGGAGTGAGGCTTGCAGAGTGGAAGAGGAGGAGGAATGTGATGTTCTCGTTGCTCTCTGAGCTTGCTAGTTCTCTTGCAGACGTCTCACTACCAAAGTAGGTAACATCATCAGGGTACCTCATCAGAGAAAGATTCATTTGACTTTGTAGAAGTGGGAGGTAGAGACACGGGACAGCCTTCCTTCAGCGAATACAGGCTTCAGTATAGCCCTAGTCAGCCTTGTGAGGTAGTTGAAAAACAAGATGCACACTCAAGTAGTGTACTGGGCATTCCTCGTCCTGCCTCGTCCAGGTCACAATAGCAAAAGACCAGCTGGTTTGTGAGTCCATTCTTCATTTGGACTCCTTGCAACCCAACTGAAAAACCCGTGAGGAAGTGTAAGGTGATTACAAGAAACTAAAAATTGCCAAGTGTGTGTTGTTGTTGTTGTTGTTGTTGTTAATTGCAAAGTCGTGTCCGACCCATCGCGATCCCATGGACAACGTTCCTCCAGGCCTTCCTGTCCTCTACCATCTTCTGGAGTCCATTTAAGCTCACACCTACTGCTTCAGTGACTCCATCCAGCCACCTCATTCTCTGTTGTCCCCTTCTTCTCTTGCCCTCCATCTTTCCCAGCATTAGGCTCTTCTCCAGGGAGTCCTTCCTTCTCATTAGGTGGCCAAAGGATTTGAGTTTCCACTTCAGGATCTGGCCTTCTAAAGAGCGATCAGAGTTGATCTCCTCCAGGCCTTCCTGTCCTCTACCATCTTCTGGAGTCCATTTAAGCTCACGCCTCCTGCTTCAGTGACTCCCTCCAGCCACCTCCTTCTCTGTCGTCCCCTTCTTCTCTTGCCCTCAATCTTTCCCAGCATCAGGCCCTTCTCCAGTGAGTCCTTCCTTCTCATTAGGTGGCCAAAGTACTTGAGTTTCAACTTCAGGATCTGGCCTTCTAAAGAGCAGTCAGGGTTGATCTCCTCTAGGACTGACCGGTTTGATCGCCTTGCAGTCCAGGGGACTCGCAGGAGTCTTCTCCAGCACCAGAGTTCAAAGGCCTCCATTCTTTGGCGCTCAACCTTTCTTATGGTCCAACTTTCACAGCCCTACGTTGCAACTGGGAGAACCATGGCCTTGACCATACGCACTTTTGTTGGCAGGGTGATGTCTCTGCTTTTGAGTATGCTGTCTAGATTTGCCATAGCTTTCCTCCCCAGGAGCAAGCGTCTTTTAATTTCTTGGCTGCAATCCCTATCTGCGGGGATCTTGGAGCCCAGGAAGATAGTGTGTGTTGTAACACACTATAAAAGAATCTTCTGATAATTCTGTGGTCAAGCTTCAAAGAAACCTCAGCATGCTTTGGCCATTTCTGCATTTTGGCTCGCCTACAGATCCAGGGGGGAAGGAGGGATGAATGGAATGTGCGCACTTGAGGATGTCAGCTGCAAGTCTGGGAATCAAAGTCCTTCACTTGGTTTACGAAAAAACGAAAGATTTCTCTCATAACAATTGTCTGATGCTTAATTGAGGAATGGGACTTGCACCGTCAGGGGGAAGGGGAGTTTCTATGCTTTTAATTTGCTGCTCTGGCACCAATTTAACCAGAGCTGCTTTTCCTTTCATCTGTGTCGATCCGCTGTGCTCAATAAAGTTTTGCATTAGGGATTGGAATGTCTCCGCTGGGCTTCCTTCGTTGGGACTATCCGTTCGGAACCTTGACATCTGTGTTAACCACTGTCTCGCTTAGCGAAAGAAATGTTGGCTCAGTTGTAAGCTGAGGGCCACCTACGTTCTTCTTTCACAGTTAGGGACAAGATCCCAGTCGGAGAGAATTCGCACGTATAACTTCAATCAAGATCGGGTGACTGACCATAGGATTTCCTACGACGTCCGTGATATCAAGGTATTTATGGAAGGGAGATCTTTTTCGGCCACCAGTAGCAGCTGTAGTTTATCCAAGGGGCAGTGATGATGTATGAAAGGGCTAAACTTGAATATATCACTCCTTTTTCAGGTTTTCTGGGCTGCTTTTAATTCAAAAGCTAACCGAGAACAATTGCACGGGCAAACATATAAATGAGCCACCAATAATCAGAATAACAAAATAACAGAGTTGGAAGGGACTTTGGTGGTCTTCTAGTCCAGCCCCCTGCTCAGGCAGGAAACCCTATCTGGGGTGGGGAACCTTGGCTCTTTTATGACTTGTGGACTTCAGTATCCAGAATTCCTGAACCAGCCATGTTGACTCAGGAATTCTGGGAGTTGGAAGTCCACAAGTCATAAAAGAACCAAGGTTCCCTACCCCTGTCCTATACCATTTCAGACAAATGGCTGTCCAGTCTCTTCTTAATAACTGTTGGATCATTCACAACTTATGGAGGCAGGTGGTTCCACTGATTAATTGTTCTCCCTGTCAGTAAATTTATCCTTAATTCCAGGTTGCTTCTCTCCTTGATTAGTTTCCATCTGTTGCTTCTTGTCCTGCCTTCAGGTGCTTTGGAGAACAGGTTGGACACACCCCCCCTTCTTTGTGGCAGCCCCTTCAATATTGGAACATTGCTATCGTGTCACCCCTAAGCAGTGGTAAAACTATAGAGGCCACAAAACTGGATGTGGGCAGATGGGCTGACAGCTGTTTCTCTAAAACAATGACAATATGGGGCTGACTTAGTGGAAAGACACATTTGTCCAAAATTCTTGTCTGATTCAAACTCTTCTCTTGAAATCAAAGCTCTTTTAAAAATATTCTATTCTATTCTATTCTATTCTATTCTATTCTATTCTATTCTATTCTATTCTATTCTATTCTATTCTATTCTATTATTTTCTATATTCTATATTCTGAATTGCAATATCTATTCTATTCTATTCTATATTCCAATATCTATTCTATATTCCAATATCCTATCCTATCCTATCCTATCCTATCCTATCCTATATTTTCTGTTCTATTTCTATATTTTCTGTTCTATTCCATTCTACTACATAATAAATGTACATCATAAGATCTGAAGTGCTTCGGAATAATTTGATAGCCCTCTTGACTAGTAGATTTGGAGCATTGTGTTGGCCAGATCTGTCACGATAAAAGATAACATTTGCTTTGATCTCTCCGTCCACAGCAACTCCTTCAAATGTTTGCTTTGTTTGGTAGGAATTTTTAAACGGTAAGGAACACCTGGATAATCTAATCAGCAGCTTGTTGGAGACTTCACAGATGAAACTGCTGGCTGAGCAGCTGGAAAACAATTTGAAATCTCTGTCAGCGGGTTCCTGACTTGAAAAAAAAAGCCCTTTTATTCTGTGTTTGTAAAATTAAAGAGAACTATTTAAGAAACACTGATCCCTTTGTTTAATTTCACATTTGGTTAACGTGGTCTCTGATTTCACAATCATTTTCCAAAGGAATAATCTACATTTCCCCCCCACACACACACACACTGTCTACAAAATGTGTACAGAACTTCACAAAGCAGCAAATTCATTAGTGTCTAGTTCTGATTGGTTTACGAGAGCGGGAGGAGAGAGAGCACAAATAGATTTACCAGCAAGTTAAATAAGAACCAAATCGATGAGCTTATGAAGACTGCCGATGAACGGAACTCACACGGGGACCCCAACCTGTACTGAAAACTCACCAAGTCGATGCCCCCGTGAAATTTCTGCCATTGATTATTGTTGCAAAAAGTTGGGTTCACTTGCAATTTAAAAAAAAAACCACCAACCAATATTATTTGAAGCCATATTCCAGTCTATATTCTCTACAGTAAATGCACGAAGCAAAGAAAGGGAAACAGGTATATTCAAAACAGCTGTAAAAACAATTCCAGCAGACTTATTGAGCCAATAATTGTAGTAAGTTAATCAAAGGTGTGGGAAGTCAGCCCCCTAGAGAAGGAAATATTAAAAGGGCAGAAAAATATATTTCCTCAAAGGATCTTAAAGAGGCAGAAAAGCATGCCCAGTTTCCTTAATAGCCCCAAGTCTCCCTCCCCCAAGCAGAAACCAGCTCTGTAGAAATGCAGATGTAAATAATCCAGGAAGGTTGGAGGCCCCCAGCTAGAAGCTTAGGAAGACAAAGACACCTAAAATCTACATACCCCACCCAGCCTCTAAAACAGGACGTAATAGGATTAACCCACAGATGCCAAAGGGACACAGGTCAGAATACATGACACAGGAAATACAAAGCCTCAAACAGGAGCAGGAAACAACTCCAAACAAAAAGCTCCAGAGGGTATAAAACCCCACTCCCTACATATGCTCTCTTTTCTTCCAGAGCCATCTTTCTGTCTGGCTCTCCTCTTCAATAAACTGCAACCTTCTTTCTAAAACAGTCTCCATTTTGTTTATGCCCGGCTTGGGACTGAACCATGAAGACTTTTCCTTCAACAAAGGTCATACCAAAAGTGCAGAAGTTCACTCTGTGAATACAAGGGGTAGGGGATGGATAAAAACGGGCATAAGTAGAGAGGAAGAAAAACAAACACCGATTTGCTTCTGAAAACTGGATGGCTCTAGTTGATTTTAAATAGAGATCGTGCTAGACTCCTTAACAGTTCATTTAGTGACTCTTCGAAGTTACAACGGTCACTGAAAAAAGCGACTTAAGACCATTTTTCACACTTATGACTGTTGCAGTCACTCCATGGGTCACCTGTTCAAAATTCAGACGCTTGGCAACTGATACGTACTTATAACGGCTGCAGTGTCCCGGGGTCACTGATGGACATTCGGAGGCTGGACAGCTGGTTCATATTTACGACGGTCACACTTCCTGGGGTCACGTGATCCCTTTTTGTGTCCTGACAAGCAAAATCCACGGGGAAGCACAACCGATTTAACAACTGCAGTGATTCCCTTAACAAACGGGGCAAGAAAAGTCACAAAATGGGGCAAAACTCACTTCACAAGTTTCTCACCTAGGAAATGTCCCAATTAGCAGCATAAATTCTGCGTTCAGTTGTCAGTAAGTCGAGGACTACCCGTGGAGAGACAGGGTGCAGCCTTTTACCTGGAATTCATGTGTTGCCGTGGCAGATTTTGCTAAAAATGCCGGTAAAAAACGTCTCGATGCGCAAAGCCAAAAATGCAGTGGAATTGTACATGAACACACACACGCTCCCAAGTTTTAAATTTTAAATTCCATTTCTGGGTGCTTTTATTAAAATCCACCTTGTACAATTTGCATTCCATCTGTTGCATTAAATCTATCAGGAAATTTTACAGCTTCTCCAACCGCAATTAATAGGATTTTATTTTAAATAGCTGTACCCAGCCACGCGTTGCTGTGGCTCAGTCTGGTAAAAGCGTGTGTTGCTTTTACGTCCAACAGATGGCGATGTTTTTCAAAAAAAGCATGTTTTTACCTGTCACAGGTGTGACTTCTATATAATAGTAGGTATATAAAAACACGCGCGTATTCGAATGCAACGTTGTGTCAAAATTTCAAAGCAATCGGTGAAGAACTTTCGGAGATTTAAGATTTTGAACAAACGAACATTTACATTTTTATTTATATAGATTACATTACTGGATATATTTTTTTAAATTCAGATCTCCTGGATTCAAACTTTAAAAATTGAAAAAAAATAATAATCAAACAGCAGTTGATCACACAGAAGGGTCCAGACTGATGTATAAAACCGATTTCTTGTTATTGTGGAAGTATATCCTAGTCTTAACTTTTTTGAAGAGTTCTGTTGAGCTCAGCTTGGCTCTTGACTTGAGGATTTTGGGAGATTCCTGGTTTACCGATGAGTAAGCTGGTTAATTTTCCTGAGCCGCTCTTTGTTGTTCGTGGTCTTATACACGGTGATGAGAAAGGGGAACGCCGAGGGCAGCTCCACCTTATCGCTCAGCTTCTGATGGCCCCAGTGGAGACAACGAAGCCTCTCGGCCAAGTCTTGTCTTCCCGATTTTTCCAAAGCCTCTTGAAGCAGCTTTGTCCTGTTCAGTTTGTTGCACGACCGTTCATACCTGGAGAGAATGGCCAACGAAGAGAGTCAGAATCATTGCAGAAGGAAGCAGACGCCCTGTCATTCAACGGTCTCTGAAGAGTTCATTCTTCTCCAGTCTTTGTACCTTTTGCTGTTCAAGTTATCCTCTCATAGTTCTAAGAAAGGAGAATATTTGCAGCTCAGGGTTTAAGCTGTTCTGTTCTGTGCTGTTCTGTTCTACCCTACCCTACTCTATTCTTCTTCTGTTCTATAGTCTATTCTTTTTCTGTTCTATATTCTCTTCTCTTCTCTTTCATTCCGCATTCTATTCTATTCTATTCTATTCTATTCTATTCTATTCTATTCTATTCTATTCTATTCTATTCTATTCTATTCTATTCTATTCTATTCCTGTTCTGTTCTATATTCTCCATTCCATTCCATTCTCTATTCTATTCTATTCTGTTCTATATTCTCCATTCCATTCTCTGTTCTATTCTATTCTATTCTATTCTATTCTATTCTATTCTATTCCCCTATTCTATTCTATTTTCTCCATTCCCTTCCCTTCCCTTCTATTCTATATTCTCCATTCCATTCGATTCCATTCCTATTCCATTCTTCTGTTCTGTTCTGTTCTGTTCTATGCTATTCTATTCTATTCTATTCTATTCTATTCTATTCTATTCTATTCTATTCTATATTCTCCCTTCCCTTCCCTTCCCTTCCCTTCTATTCTATTCTTCATTTATTCTATTCTATTCTTCATTTATTCATCCATGCATCCATCCACCCACCCACCTACCCACCAATCTCGGATCATGATAATTCTAGATGAATTTGAAGCTAATAAGTCTAGATCTCAAGAGCTTATGTCAACGCCAAAGACTTTGGATTTGTTCTGTACTTTGTCAGGATTATCCTACCAGTGTTCCAGCATTTTTTGGGCTTGACTCCTCTTCTCCGGGGTGAGGGCATGGATATGGCTAATTTCAGCACGTGTGAATCCCAGTTCATAGGCCACCATAGGCCACTCGAAGCTCAGTTGCTTGCCAAGATCTCTGAGGGACTGGAGATTGATGACAGCGTCCTAGTGCATGAGAAGACAGTGGTAGGACATGATCCAGCACTTGATGGAGTCAACAGGGGACTGTCAAAATCAGGGTTGTACTGCCTTTATTTCCCAAACTCCAATCCCTTAGAGGCTGGAATGACACATTTGGGCTTTTTCTAAGGTGAGCTTTCATCCTGACCAAATAAAGGATAGAGGCAAGGAGAGAATTCATCTATAAACCAGGTTCTCCTTTGACTTTCTGTTATGTCTCTACTCATTCAAGCCAATCTGCAACTTTTACAGACTAACCCACCATATAGTCTACCAAGCTGAACCTTTAGCAAACAAGCCTACAAATACGTAATTTTTACAGATAAGCCTGCCATCAAAGCAGCGGTATGAAGAATCAAAACCACTCCTGACTTTTTACATTCTAATCAATGCTTTGCAAACTGGGGGACATTCTCTAGCCACCATGCTGGCTGGGGAATTCTGGGAGTGGCAATCCCACACATCTTAAAGTTGCCGAGTTTCAAAAACACGGATTTAGATGAATTGCTTTCTGCTTTCCTTACCTCATTTTTTTTTAAAAAAAAAAAAGTATCCAGAATTTAGATGTAAAATTTTAAAAAAACTGCTGCAGGTTGCATCAAAGTATTTGTGCAATCCTCAGCTCATTAACACTGACATTTAAATTTTAATTAGCATTGATTTCCCCACCTCCCTCTTCCTTCCCTTTCCTTCTTTCCATTTCAATCCTTTCTTCCTTTCTTCCTTCCTTCGTCTTCCTCCCTCCCTCCCTCTCTTCCTTCCATCCATTTCGATCATTCCTTCCTTCCTTTCCTTCCATCTCCTCCGTCCCTGCCTTAATGGCCTAAGGATTAGAGCAGGGGTAGGCAACCTTGGTTCTTTTATGACTCGTGGACTTCAACTCCCAGAATTCCTGAGCCAGCATGGGGGAAACTTTGGCCCCTTCATGACTCGTGGACTTCAACTCCCAGAATTCCTCAGCCAGCATGGCTCAGCTTGGAAACCTCTCCCTTTTCCCTCAGTGTGGCTGGCTCAGGAATTCTGGGAGTTGAAGTCCACCAGTCATAAAAGAGCCAAGGTTGCCTACCCCTGGATTAGATAATCTTTAATTAACACTGAATAAACGCCATGTATACCAACAATAGAATGCATTCTATATGTTTTATAACACAATAACAATAACACTAATAAATACTAAGAAATGTGGGGTTTTTTTTACTGTTAGTTATAAGGAGCAGAGACACTAACAGGGAAAAACACCCTCTATTTTAAAAACCCACATTTCTTAATATTTCTTAGTATTTTCTGAAAGGATTAATGAAAAATCTTGAGTGAAAGACCTGGAAAATGTACATGAATGCAAAACTCATATATTATTTTGATGGCACCACCCTACCGTTTGCCAGCAGAGTCAGCTGGAAACTTAGGCATCCAGAACGCTGGTCTCGTACTTAAAATAATTTAGACGTGTTTGATTCCAAAGAAGGATTCTGACAAAATAAAATATCTTTGGCTTACCTCTTGAGCTTTATTTGCCATTCTGATTCAGGAGCCAGAGAGGATGCTTTGATTCAAGAGGAAAGCTGGCTAGAAATAAAGGATTTCTATTAAAATTTATGCCATACGTCGTACCAATGTCATTATTTTTATCAGCAATCAGAAGGGTCTGGTAGCAATATTCTCAGACAAATCCATTTTATTAAAAGGTGCGAAAGTGCCTGACTTTTAATCAAATTGGTTGGGCTAATAAGAAGCCTTGGTTCCGATATTGAGATACTATAGAGAAACTACATTTTTGTCTGTCTGCAATGAGAAATACACTTTTTTTTCCCCCAAACAGTAACGTCCTAATTACCTTTGGTGTCAAAGGTAAAGAATTTGATCCTATTTTGATAACCCAATCCTTAAGTTTAAATACTGGCTTTCATGATGAAAAACAGCACAAGGAAAGGAATCGTAGTTTTATCGTTTTATCGCAGCGCTCTCAATCTTAAAACGTGTTTAAAGGCAGTCTATAAAATTCAACATAATTCAACCTAGTGGACCTTTTGGGCTGAATCCTGCCTGGCTCCAGAGAAGCCATTTCCTTCCTTTAAAAGATAGTTTGGAAGTTCTGAGGACCCAACTCTGCAAAATATTTCGAAAGGCCGTGTTAAACGTGAGCCCCGACGCATCGTTAAAATGGCAAAGTAATAAAAGTTCTTTTTTTTTCATACAATATCACAAAAGTTTTTTTTTCTTACTTACCTGCTTTTTTTTAATTCAACGGTTGCTTTTCTTCGTCTTCAATTTCATGTATTTCTCAGGTTCCTACTGCAAAAGTCAGAGCTTTGAATAGCATCTAGAGAAAACTGATTTACGTTGAGACAGTTATTTGAACATAGCCGTCTGTTGCATAGACACTCACCACAACAAAACTAATGTTAATTTTTAACGTGCTTTTAAGCTATTTGTTACCCATGACTGAGTACATCTTTGCTGGTAACGGTTGCATAATACTGCATTTTGTTCCAGTTAAGGACATACGTTTCGAAGAATGCCCAATGCATTCTTGAAAATGGTCACCCAGTTTCTATCTAAAACCTTATTAGATTGGCTGGGAATATAATTTTTTGGGGTTAAGTATTTTAATTGCAGTAATAATCTCGTTGTATGAGTGCTAAGGTGGCAGAGTGTCACCTTGTTTGACCTCAGCTGGGAACATTGCAGTTCAATCCATCAGAACAGAGCTGGAAGGGACCTTGGAGGTCTTCTAGTCCAACCCCTTGCTCAGGCAGGAAACCTTGTACTATTTCAGACGAGTGGCTGTCTAATCTCTTCTTAAAAACTTCCAGTGTTGGAGCATTCACAACTCCTGGAGGCAATTCTACTGATTGTCTTCACTGTCAGGAAATTCCTCCTTAATTCCAGCTTGCTTCTCTCCTTGATTACGGTAGTTTCCATCTTGTTGTTTCTTGTCTTCCCTTCTGGTGCTTTGGAAAATAGGTTGACCCCCCCCCCCTTTGTGGTAGCCCCTCAAAGAGGTTGGGTGACTTGATTATTTTCACCGTTCTGTGCTTGTCCTCAAATGGCCATGGAGGTGAAATTCACAAATAACGGAATCCGAGAATAAGGAGGATCAACCACACGACTAACACTACAGTTTTAGAACGACACTGCCATTGTAGAAAAAGCAGGCAGACCCTGGGGGTGGAGTCAAGAGGGGACTCAGCCTAGAATCATTACATGTCCACAAATGCTCCAAGTTCAACTCTTCTTGAATTCTATTAACTCCCATCTAGCATCAAACCTAGGTGTGATCCTGATTTTTCGTGCCTCACAGTCATGGTCTTTTACATTTATTTTCCCCGCAACCCAGCATCCACTAAAACTTATAGAGAAATATGTCGTTAAGTAATTACTGCATTTATTTTTCTTGGGGGGGGGGAAAGACTCACAGCAATTTACTGATTGGTAAGATATACCGAACTCCTTTGATCCGGTATTTAAAAAAAATATTATATTTACACGACCCCACAAACGGGAGGGAGGGGAGGGGAGAGCAAATCCAGCAAACTGAAATAACTTGGGTGTAAAAAAAAAAAAAAGAAATATTCTGTACATTTTACACTCGAGACATGGTTTGAAAAACGCCGAGCCCTAAAAAAGTCACGCTTTTACAGTCACGTCTTGTAAAGAAATCGTTTAAAACACTTTGTTGTTTTTTCCCCGCATCCTCAAAGTGCTTTTTTTTTAACAATGCGGCCGCGGTGTTAGTGATCGTTGAGTCTCTGTCGAATGTTTCGAGTTTTTCCGTTTTCAAATTTCCGCTTTTTGAAGACCGGCATCTCTTCCGCTGCCTCGCCGAGTGACGTGACGGTTTTTTCTTTGAAGATTACTTTGGCCTCTTCCGATACTTCTAAAACCGGGACGCTCTCCGTGCTAGGAAGTTCCAGGTCGACGTTCTCGCTAAAGGAAATGAGAAGTTTGTTGAACAAAAGCTTATTTAAAAAAATAAAACGGGCTCGGGGTGGCCAATTTAGGCCCGAAGCCTCCTCACTGTATATAAACATCGTTTAACTCAGCGTTATCTTTTTCCTGAAAACGGCAAGCCGAAACCACGTTGCGGCCAGCAAAATTTCACCCAATTTATAACCTGCAGGTAGAGAAGTGGCATAGCTCTAGCTATTAATAATGGCAGATATAAGAGAGGAGGGGGTATATTTTTGGCAAACATTTATTTATCGAATTTAGAGAGCGCCCGTCTCACGCGCACAAGCCACTTCGCGTGCTGTACAAAAAGTTATCCTGTGCAATAAAAAGCTCTTATTTTCTCACGTACGAAGATTCTCACTGAGCTACAAGAACAAAACCTGCCTCTATCTACCAGTGGTCGTGAAACAGGGTCCCTCTCATTCTGCCAAGCCTCTTCTTTAAAATCGAAAATTTATCTCCAAGTATGACACCCAGGCAAAATGTGTAGGTTAAAAAAGTCAGTGAAAATTTATCTCCAAGTACGACACACAGGCAAAATGTGTAGGTTAAAAAAAAAAAAGTCAGTGAAAAGAACCAAACTTACTTAAAAGAAAAAAATAAAATAAAAGGGGAATTTGCTTTGAACATTTGGGTTTAAAGTGAAATTGAGTCCAGATGGATGTCAAATCTTCTGAAGAGTAAATTACTCTGAAGTGTAGATTTGAAGAATGTTTGTGAATGATCTGCTTCCTCAAATTAAATGCCCTACTTCCCAGAATTTTCAAATATGTTTTACTTTAATCCCTCACTAGTTTATATGCCTATGTTTATAAGCTAGATGTCTATTCTATTCCATTCCATTTTCTATATTTCTATTATATTTCTATTCTATTCTATTTTCTATATTGCTATTCTATTTTCTATTTCTATATTTCTATTCTATTTTCTATATTTCTATTCTATTTTCTATATTTCTTCTATTCTATTCCATTCCATTCTATTCTATTTATTCCATTCCATTCCCTATATTTCTATTCTATTTCTATTCTATTCTATTTTCTAGATTTCTATTCTATTTTCTATTTCTATATTTCTATTCTATTCTATTTTTTATATTTCTATTCTATTTTCTAGATTTCTACTATTCCATTCCATTCCATTTATTCCATTCCATCTTCTATATTTCTATTCTATTTTCTATTTCTATATTTCTATTCTATTCTATTTTCTAGATTTCTATTCTATTTTCTAGATTTCTATTCTATTTTCTAGATTTCTATTCTATTTTCTAGATTTCTTCTATTCTATTCCATTCCATTTTCTAGATTTCTATTCTATTTCTATTCTATTCTATTTTCTATTTCTATTCTATTTTCTAGATTTCTATTCTATTTTCTATTTCTACATTTCTATTCTATTTTCTAGATTTCTATTCTATTTTCTATTTCTAGATTTCTATTCTATTCTATTCTCTAGATTTCTATTCTATTTTCTAGATTTCTATTCTATTTTCTATATTTCTTCTATTCTATTCCATTCCCTACATTTCTAGATTTCTATTCTATTTTCTAGATTTCTATTCTATTTTCTAGATTTCGTCTATTCCATTCTCTATATTTCTATTATATTTGTATTCTATTCTATTTTCTAGATTTCTATTCTATTTTCTAGATTTCTATTCTATTTTCTATTTCTATATTTCTATTCTATTCTATATTTCTATTCCATTTTCTATATTTCTTCCATTCCATTCCATCCCATCCCATCCCATCCTACTCCTCTCCTCTTTCTAAACCACCCATCTCCCTTACTGCCGTAACTGCTTAGGCAGGCTGGTATTGTAAATAAAGATACAGTATGACACCAATGCACGGTGTCCTGTATATACCTACTAAGCAAGTTCCTTACAGAGACAATTGCATCTTCAGCCATATCAGTTACTATCCCTATGAACCATGAACCAGAGAAATACAATGCAGTGCAGTTTGGACACCGGGTTATCGGTGTCCTTCTGCCCAAATCTAGCCACGCGCTTCCAGGTAAGATAAGCAGGACTCACTATGGATCGTCCTCGCTGATCTTCTCCCATTTGCCCAAAGGTGTGGACTTCTGCGACGGCTGCGCCGGACTCTTCTCACGGCCCACCTTGTCTTCTTTGACCTGCTGCCATTCTCCGTAAGGGCCAACCTTTTGGGGCTTGTGAGGCTTTTCTCCATCACTGCCCGTCTTCCTCTGAGAAACAAGGGAGGGAACATCCTGTTAGGCAGTGGAGTATACAATCTTGGAGGTAAAAAAAATAAATAAATCATTTTTTCAACCACCACCTTGAGTTTACTCAAGCTTCTCTCCCTATTTTTACGGATACGACGTGGACTATTTTGTCAGTAACGGCGAGTTGCTATACAAATGATAACCACAGTATATAGGCTATAACTGCGCTCTGTGCTTTGTGTCTCCAGCTGCAATGTAATGACAGACAAATCTTCCTTTAGGAAAATGCAAGAGTAGAATAGAATAGAATAGAAAATATGGAATGGAGTGGAGTGGAGTGAAATAGAATAGAATAGAATAGAAATATAGAATAGAATAGAATAGAAATATAGAATAGAATAGAATATATGGAATGGAGTGGAGTGAAATAGAATAGAATAGAAATATAGAATAGAATAGAATAGAGTAGAATAGAATAGAAGAATGGTATGGTATGGTATGGTATGGTATAGTATAGAATAATGGAATGGAATAGAATAATGGTATGGTATGGTATGGTATAGTATTAGTATAGTATTAGTATAGTATAGTATAGAATAATGGAATGGAATGGAATGGAATAGAATAGAATAGAATAGAACAGAATATATGGAATGGAATGCAGGAACAGAACAGAACAGAAAATATAGAATAGAATAGAATGATGGGATGGGATAGGATAGAATAGAATAATGGAATGGTATGGTATGGTATCGTATAGTATAGAATAATGGAATGGAATAGAATAATGGAATGGAATGGAATGGTATAGTATAGTATTAGTATTAGTATTAGTATTAGTATTAGTATTAGTATAGTATAGTATAGTATAGTATAGTATAGTATAGTATAGAATAATGGAATGGAATAATGGAATGGAATAATGGAATGGAATGGTATGGTATGGTATGGTATGGTATGGTATAATGGAATGGAATGGAATGGAATGGAATAGAATAGAATAGAAGCTGGAAGGGACTTTGGAGGTCTTGGAGGTCTTGAGCCCCCCGCTCAAGCAGGAGAACCTATACCATCTCAGACAAGTGACTGTCTCTTCTTAAAAACCTCCAGTGATGGAGTGTCCACAATTTCTGAAGGCAAGCCGTTCCACTGGCTTGTTGCAATAGTCTACTTAATTGCCCAACGTGTGGACAGATTTAAGTGCAGTTTCAATTGGAGCATCTTAGACCAAACTAAGTCCAAAAACGCTGGAGAATTCCTGGAAGCCTGGCACATCAGACAGAACAATTATCAACAGGCACACCAAGAACATATACATGCCATTCAAAAGAGACAACCAAAAGGAAAAACACCCAAACACTTCCTCGCTAGCAATCAACACCCAGATCAATAGGGATTAACAGCAAGATTAATTCTAGACCCACCATCAAGCAATAAACGATAAGCCCAATCAAGGAACCTGGGAAACATTCATAGGTGGCCAATCTAAGAAAAATAGAAAAATCTTATTAATATTTATTACCTGGAGGTGATAAATATTACCTTTTGTGATTCATTTTTGTTGTTCTCATCAGAGGAGTTGTCATCTGGATTATTCTTTACTGAACAAGATACGAAAGTTGCAGGCTTCTCCCATGTTGATACTAGACAATATATATATAAAAAAACACCTTGTCTTATGTGACCAATCTGGAAATTAATCTTCCGAAAAGCAGATTCATTAGAAATAGAATCCCACACATAAAGGCCGTAACGTATACTTCAGTGGGGCCAAATTAATAAGATTAAGCAAACAACAATAATAATAATAATAAAGTTGGAAGAGACCTTTCTTTCGCATTTCACTAACCTAAGAGGTACTCTTAGATCCCTGTTAAAACTGCTGGACAGCCATCAGAAATCAAGGCTGGACCTCTGTAGCTTACCTTCTGTTATTTCACACTCCATCTTTTAAAAACAGAGCCTCAGTGTATACAGTAAATAATGCAATAAATGTGGAATAGCAGTGTTTTAAAAGGAAGAAGCAGCGTCGTCATGCCACATACAAGGATTGAAGGCTGCATGTTTGAGAGACTGGAGAAACTGAACAAATAGTTTATTAAAGGAAAGGAAAGGAAAGGGAGATAGAAAAAAGAAAAGGAAAGGAAAGAAAAAGGAAGGGAAGGGGAAGGAAAGGGAGATAGAAAAAAGGAAAGGAAAGGAAAGAAAAAGGAAGGGAAGGGGAAGGGAGATAGAAAAAAGGAAAGGAAAGAAAGGGAAAAGGAAGGAAAGGGAGATAGAAAAAAGGAAAGGAAAGAAAAAGGAAGGAAAGGGAGATAGAAAAAAGGAAAGGAAAGAAAAAGGAAGGAAAGGAAGATAGAAAAAAGAAAAGGAAAGAAAGGAAAAAGGAAGGAAAGGGAGATAGAAAAAAGGAAAGGAAAGGAAAGAAAAAGGAAGGGAAGGGAGATAGAAAAAAGGAAAGGAAAGGAGAGAAAAAGGAAGGGAAGGGAGATAGAAAAAATGAAAGGAAAGGAAAGAAAAAGGAGATGGAAAAAAGGAAAGGAAAAAAAGGAAGGTAGGGGAAGAGGAAGTGGGAGGGAAGGAAGGGAAGGAAAAGAAAAGGAAAAGGGAAGGAAAAGGGTAGGAGAAGAGGAAGGGAAGAGGGAAAGGAAAAGGAAAAAGGAAAGGAAAGGAGAAGGGGAAGGGAAGGAAAAGGAAGGGAAAGGGAACGGAGGAAGAAAGGGATGGCAAATTCCTTTTGCAACAAAGATTTGGAAACGGCACAACGTCGCCAGGAGTTGAATTTGATTCCCACAATTATCCTTCCTTTATACATTCCGCAAAATATACGGGGAACCAACCGTCACGGATACAGTAATGCCTCTAGGTCCAGGTAGCTTAATGGGTGATGGGTTAGCTGATGCCCACTGGGTCCACCTTCCCAGGAAAAAGAACACAGGTGAATATTCCTATAAATGGTTCCTGGGGATGGGAAGACGGATGGGCCACCTCCATCGTTGGAAAAGCCATTTTGTGAGAGCATTTAGGCAAATGCTCAACATTTCAAAGGGGCTCCTTGCCTCTCTATTTTATCTGCAGAAAAACATTCGTTGTCTAATAGATGCGTATAAAATCTCTCACCTCCAGTGTCTTTGTTATAATAATAGGTGTGACCGTCGTCGTCTATTCCTTCTATCCAAACTGCTTCCTGAAAAACAAAGGCTAAATCAACCGAGCAATAAAGGCTAATTAAAATCTCATTCGTTTCTCATTTATACCTTGCTTTCATTTTACCTTGTCGGAGGTGCCAGGAAGGTAACATTTATTTAAAACCGAAACATCGTCACTTATCCGTTGTAAGCTTCCTTCCTTCTTGGCAATAATAAAATTCAATTATTGCAGCATCCAACAGAGTGGTCCCCTTTACATATTGGAAAATAATGCTCTTAAATTAATTTAGAGATTCTGGCTAATAAATGCATCCTTAGAGAACCGTATTCCTAATCATATCCGTTCAGAACAGATGCAAGTCAACTGATTTTTTTCAGCGAATTGAGAATATATTTTAAATAACGAAGACTTTTTTTTTTTTTTAACAATACCTATAATAATAAATAAACATTTAGTTACCTTTTGAGAATTCTGACAGATGTCATGAAATCCTTCTGGTTTCTCCCACTGTGATTCTTAATAACAAGGTTTAAAAAAAAGAAGTTTAATTTGGCATCCAGGGAAAAAATCATTCATGCAGTATTAGATATCTAATAAAAGGCTATAGAGAGGAAGAATGAACGGCAATTGTAAAAAAAAAAAAGAAAGGAGAAATCTATTGCTAAATATCACTTCGTGTTTTGTTTTGATGGCATACATGATGTATAAAAGGAGCTTAGCTGCAAATTTACCTCCAGATTTCGTGTTGTAATAATAGGTGTAGCCCTCGGGAGAAAACCCTCGCACCCATTCCTTTGCTCCATTGGCTTGCTTCCCCTTTTTCTTCTTTTCCTTTTTCTCCTTCTTTTCTTTTTTCTCTTTTTTCTCCTTCTTTTCTTCCTGCTTTACCGGCAATGAAGGCTGGGCTACAGGTTCTGAGACACAGAGCAGTAGATTTCAAGGCCCACCTCACAGCTACAGAACTCCACCACCATTTAAATATTGGACATTCAGTTTCAAGTCTCTGGAACTCCGGCGATGTGTGCCCAGTGGAATACGGTGTCAATGAAATTCCACCAGGCAAATTCTGCCTGACAGACCCATGGATCTTTTCTTAAGGCTTACCGTAGCTTGAGCAGGGGGCTGGACTAGAAGACCTCCAAGGTCCCTTCCAGCTCTATTCTATTCTATTCTATTCTATTCTATTCTATTCTATTCTATTCTAAATTCTATTCTTCTATTCTATTCTATTTTATTCTATTCTAAATTCTATTCTTCATTCCTTGTATTCTATATTCTATTCTAAATTCTATTTTTCATTCTATTCTATTCTATTCTATATTCTATTCTTCATTCCTTCTATTCTGTTGTTCTATTCTATGCTATGCTATTCTATTCTATTCTAGTATTTCTAATTCTATTCTATTCTATTCTTTCTATTCTATTCTTTCCTATTTCGATTCTTTTCTATTTCTATTTCCATTCCATTCCATTCTTCCCTATTTCTATTCTTTCATATTTCTATTCTATTCTATATTCTATTCTTCATTCCTTCTATTCTATTCTATTCTATTCTATTCTATTCTATTCTATTCTATTCTATTCTATTCTATTCTATTCTAGTACTAGCTGTACCCGGCCACGCGTTGCTGTGGCTCAGTCTGGTTAAATGGAAAAGAAAGAAAAGAGAAAGCGCACGTTTGTGTCACAAGTGTGACATCTATATAATAGTAGGTATATAACAACATGCACGTATTCGAATGCAACGTTGTGTCAAAATTTCAAAGCAATCGGTGAAGAACTTTCAGAGATTTAAGATTTTGAACAAATGAACATTTACATTTTTATTTATATAGATTTCTAATTCTATTCTATTCTATTCTATTCTATTCTATTCTATTCTATTCTATTCTATTAATTCATTTATAGCTAGCAGGGGTAATATCTGCAAATCTTCCCAAACTGGCGTATTTTTACAGGCAGTCCTCGTCTTACGACCACAATTGAACTCCCTCTTGAGTTTGCTTGTCGGAAGGTCGCAAAAGGGGATCACGTGACTGCAACCGGCATAAGTACATGCCAGTTGCCAAGCGTCCTAATTTTGGTCACGTGACCCTGGGGATGCTGCGACGGTTCGTGAAGCGTGAAAAATGATCATAAGTCACTTTTTTCACCGCCGTTGTAACTCTGAACCGTCACTAAAAATCCCGGAAGTCGGAGACTGCCTGTATTTTTATGGGTTCTGTATATTTGTGTCAAGGGAAGCTGCTCGAAAGAACCAAAGGGCTGCTGGCCTGATGGTTCTTCCGTCGGATCGTCCTGGGTCTTACCTGCCTTCAATCCGAGCCTTTTCAGGTCTTCTTGGTAGGCCTTCGTGGCGGCTTCCTCCATTGCTGCAAACTCCTTCGCCATTTTTGCATCTTCCTTCGCCTTGTCTAAGCTTTTCTGCTTAATCTGCAATTTAAAAGAGGGTGGAGCGGGATGCATGACGCCGGATTTGGGAAAACGACCCGTTCAGGTTCAAGGAGGCCACTTCGAATTACCTCGCTAATTTTCTTGGCCACATTTTCCTTGTGGTTCTTTCCTCTTTCGTGGAAATCGATGCTCTGGAAAAAAAAAAAAAAAGGAAGAGAGGCTCCTAAACTTAGAGAAAAATCAACTTTACAACTACCGGTATGTATATGTATGGCTGTGAAAGTGGGACCCTAAGAAAGGCTGAGCGCCAAAGAATGAAGGCCTTTGAACTCTGGTGCTGGAGAATACTCCTGCGAGTCCCCTGGACTGCAAGGCGATCCAACCGGTCAGTCCTGGAGGAGACCAACCCCGACTGCTCTTTAGAAGGCCAGATCCTGAAGTTGAAACTCAAGTCCTTTGGCCACCTAATGAGAAGGAAGGACTCCCTGGAGAAGAGCCTAATGCTGGGAAAGATGGAGGGCAAGAGAAGAAGGGGACGACAGAGAAGGAGGTGGCTGGATGGAGTCCCTGAAGCAGGAGACGGGAGCTTCAAGGGGCTCCAGAAGATGGTAGAGGACAGAAAGGCCTGGAGGAACGTTGTCCATGGGGTCACGATGGGTCGGACACGACTTCGCAACTAACAACAAAAACACATCCACCTGAGGCCGACAGCTAAGGTAAATATTTCAAACCCTATTTGAAGCACGTCTATTCTTTCAAAGTACCTGACCAAGTATGGTTTCAACTGCAATCGAATCAAGGGCATTCTATTCACGCAGGCATTTTAGGTGATTTTAAAAGGTGCCCTCAACCGTATAAATTTGTATAAGGAGTGTTAAATAAAGGAGATACTGAAAAGAACCCCAAGAATCCGGATACAACTAACCCTGAAAATATTAAACACTAAATGCAACTTATTAAACACTAAATGCAATTTATTGCAATTTATTTAGCTGACATAAATAAATAAACCATTTATTCTATCCTGCCAGCTACAGGAAAAAGGCTAGAAAGCAAACAACAAATCAATTGTCTAGGGAGATTCTCAGTCATCCAGGTCATGGGTGTCCCAAAGGTGCTTTTTTCACGAGGCAACTGGACTTTCTTGTTTTTCCTTTGAAGACGTTTCGCTTCTCATCCAAGAAGCTTCTTCAGCTCCTCTTCAGAGCTTCTTGGATGAAGAAGCTTCTTGGATGAGAAGCCAAACGTCTTCAAAAGAAAAAACAAGAAAGTCCAGTGGCCTTTGTGATAACATTATCAAATGCTGACCCTCTGACGAAGGCTTAAATTTAAAACGTTACAACCCAAATTCCAGGACTTAGATGTGCTTAAGAATATAACCAGAAGTCCATCATACCGGTTTGTTGTCGGCTATCCAGCACTTGCAATAACTGCAGAATTTCTTGGGTTGAGATTTCCAGTAATCAGCCCTGGAAAAGAGAGATTGGAAAGAAAACGGTAGGACTTTAAAAAAACCAGAAACATAGAAAACTGACCGGCAGAAAAATATACAGTAGTCCGGGGTAAGCAACCTTGGCTCTTTTTATGACTTGTGGACTTCAACTCCCAGAATTCCTGAGCCAGTGTGGGGGAACTATGGCCCCTTCATGACTCGTGGACTTCAACTCCCAGAATTCCCGAGCCAGCATGGCTCAGCTTGGAAACCTCTCCCTTTCCCCTCAGCATGGCTGGCTCAGGAATTCTGGGAGTTGAAGTCCACGAGTCATAAAAAGAGCCAAGGTTGCCTACCCCTGCAGTAGTCCATCAAGCCTACCCTTTATCTGTGTTTTGTTCTTTTTAAAATTAATTATTTTAATTATTTTTATATTTTATTTAATTTTATAATTTTTGTCAGAGGATGGACATGTGTTTGTCCCAAGCATGTTTAAACTCAGTTGCTGAGGACTGAATCACTACTTCCACTGGAAGTGGGTTCCACTCCTCTTTCTGTGAAGTCATACAACAAAGCAAAACAACAACCCTGTGAGGTGGGTTGAATTGACAGAGAAGGACTGGCCCAAGTCACCCAGTTAACCCAATCAAGAATCATAATTATTTCCCATTATTAATGTAATTATTAATAATTTCCAAATCGTGTCCCAACTGGAAAGTACTGGCCCAAGGTCACCCAATTAAATTAATTCAGAATCATAACGATTATTTCCCATTATTAAATTACTATTTATAAATTTCCAAATTGTGTCCCAATGGGAACGTGCCGGCCTAAAGCCACCCAATTTAATTCAGAATCCTAATGATTATTTCCCATTATTGTTAATTATTATTTATAAATTTACAGACTGATCAGCCCAGTGCAGAATCATAACTATTATTTCCCATTATTAAATTATTACTTATAATTTACAGCTGTGTGACCCAATGAGAGAGCGCCGGCCCAAAGCCTCCCAATCAATCTAATTCAGAATCATAACTATTATTTCCCATTATTAAATTATTATTTATAATTTAGTTTGGGACCCAGTGAGAAAGCGCTGGCCCAAAGCCACCCAATCAATATAATTCAGAATCATAACGATTATTTCCCATTATTGTTAATTGTTATTTATAAATCTACAGATTGATTAGCCCAATGCAGAATCATAACTATTACTTCCCATTATTAAATTATTATTTATAAATTTCCAAACGTGTCCCAATGGGAAAGCGCTGGCCCAAAGCCACCCAATCTAATTCAGAATCAAAAGTATTATTTCCCATCATTAATGTACTTGTTATTTATAAATTTACAGATTGGTTAGCCCAATTCAGAATCATAACTATTATTTCCCATTATTAGATTATTATTTATAATTTACAGTGTGTGACCCAATGGGAAAGCGCTGGCCCAAAGCCACTCAATAAAGCTAATTGAGAATCAAAATGATTATTTTCCATTATTGTTTACTATTATTTATAAATTTACAGACTGATTAGCCCAATGCAGAATCATAACTATTGTTTCCCATTATTAGATTATTATTTGTAATTTACAGTTGTGTGACACAATGAGACAGCGCTGGCCCAAAGCCACTCAATCAATCTAATTCAGAATCATAACGATTATTTCCCATTATTGTTTATTATTACTTATAAATTTACAGATCAGCCCAATGCAGAATCATAACTATTGTTTCCCATTATTAATGTAATTATTACGTATAAATCTACAGATTGATGAGCCCAATGCAGAATCATACCTATTATTTCCCATTATTAGATTATTATTTGTAATTTACAGTTGTGTGACACAATGAGACAGCGCTGGCCCAAAGCCACTCAATCAATCTAATTCAGAATCATAACGATTATTTCCCATTATTGTTTATTATTACTTATAAATTTACAGATCAGCCCAATGCAGAATCATAACTATTGTTTCCCATTATTAATGTAATTATTACTTATAAATTTACAGATTGATGAGCCCAATGCAGAATCAAAACGAATATTTCCCCTTATTGTTTATTATTATTTATAAATCTACAGATTGATGAGCCAAATGCAGAATCATAACTATTGTTTCCCATTATTAAATCATTATTTATAATTTACAGTGCTGTGACCCAATGAGAAAGCCCCGGCCCAAACCCTCCCAATCAATCTAATTCAGAATCAAAACGATCATTTCCCCTCATTAACGTCAATTATTATTGTTTATACATTTCCAAAACGCCTCCCCGTGGGAAAGCGCCGGCTCAGAGCCACCCGATCAGCCCAAGGCAGGGCCCGGGCCTGGCGGGAGGCCCCGGGGGAAGGCCCCGGGGGAAGGCCGGGATCGGAGCCCCCGAGGCGGGGAGGGGAGGAGACTCACATGGCTGCCCGGGCGGAGCGCGGGGGGCGGCGGCGCCACCGGCGGAGCAGCCGAACCCGGAACTGGCCGCTCCCAGAGGAGAAGAAGGAGGAGCGGGAGGGTGGGAAGCGGCGCAGGCGGGTGACGTCACGCGCGCGCCGTGCGTGGAGGACGGCGGCCTGCGAGGGCCAATCCCAGCGGCGTTCTGGTCCCAGAGGCGGCGGGGAGTCCCGGCGCTCGGCGAGGCGGCGTCTCGGGGCTTTCCAAGCCGGGCCCGGTCGGACTGCCCAGGGCGGGAGGAGGCGGGCGGGCGGGCAGGCGGGCGAGTCGGCCTCGGATCTCCTTCCTCTCGGCTTGCCTCTCCGCCGCTCGGCCGGACCCCCCCCCTCCCCGTCGACACAACAGCCCTGCGAGGTAGGCTGGGGCGGCTCGGCGGGGCTGGCTCCCTCTCTCTTGAAGCGGGAGGGGGGTCAGGCCTGCCCAAGGGGGGGTGGAGGGGGGGTTGGGTGGAGGGACCCCCCCCTTTGGCGCTCCTGGGGGGTCAGAGAGGCTCCCGAGCAGCTTTTTTAAGCCCTAAGAGACCCCAAGGGCCCCCCCCGCTTTGCTGGTGGTGGGGCGGGGTCTGCAGAGGGAGCCTTGACCCCCCCCAGTGGGGGAACTTGGAGAAAACTCGCCAAATCCGTCCCATAAATACATTAGAAGGGGTGATTCTCTTCTCCTTTCTTTCTTTCTTTCTTTCTTTCTTTCTTTCTTTCTTTCTTTCTTTCTTTCTTTCTTTCTTTCTTTCTTTCTTTCTTTCTTTCTTTCCTTCCTTCCTTCCTTCCTTCCTTCCCTTCCTCCCTGGTTCTCTTTCCTTCCTTTCTCTCTTTCCTTTGCTTCTTTCCTTCCTTCCATCTCCTCCCTCCCTCCCTTCTTTCCTAGTCCTTCCTTTTCCTTCTCGTTCCTTCTCTTTCCTTCCTTTCTTCTGTCTCGATCCTTCCTTCCTTCTATTTTGATCCATCCTTCCTTCCTTTCCTTCTCTTTCTTCCATCTCAATCCTTCCTTCCTTTCTTCTTTCCTTCTCTTTCCTTCTTTCTTCCATCTCAATCCTTCCTTCCTTCTTTCCTTCTTTCTTCCATCTCGATCCTTCCTTCCTTTCCTTCTCTTTCCTTCTCTTTCTTCCATCTCTAGCCTTCCTTCCTTTCTTCTTTCCTTCTCTTTTCTTCTTTCTTCCATCTCGATCCTTCCTTCCTTCTTTCCTTCTCTTTTCTTCTTTCTTCCATCTCAATCCTTCCTTCTTTCCTTCTTTCTTCCATCTCTAGCCTTCCTTCCTTTCTTCTTTCCTTCTCTTTTTTTCTTTCTTCCATCTCGATCCTTCCTTCCTTCCTTCCTTCCTTCCTTCTTTCCTTCTCGATCCTTCCTTCCTTCCATCTATCCTTCCTTTCTTCTTTCCTTCTCTTTCCTTCTTCCTTCCATCTCGATCCTTTCTTCCTTCTTTCCTTCTCTTTTCTTCTCTCTTCCATCTCCTTCCTTCCTTCCTACCATCTTGATCTTCTCTTCCATCTCCTTCCTTCCTTCCTTCCTACCATCTTGATCTTCTCTTCCATCTCAATCTATCCTTCCTACCTACCTACCTACCTACCTACCATCTTGATCCTTCTCTTCTCTTCCATCTCAATCCTTCCTTTCCTCCCTCCCTCCCTCCCTCCCTTTAAAGCTGCCTAAAAGTTTTCTTCCTCCTGGGAATTTCAGAAGTTAAATATCCCCCCCCCCCATCCTTTCGGCTTTCTTGAGTTGGCCCTGTGATTTTGCAACCCCCTCCTAGATTATTGTTATTAATATTATAAAACTGAGGCATTGCAGTATAGCCACACTGGGCGGATGGGAAGGGGAAGCCCAGGAACTGGCCTCAGCTGCTAGAGAGGCTCGGTGGCTGTTGGGTTGCTTGCCCGGTTTGCTTTAACCACTGTTTATGGAACAAGCCATCATGGCCTGCTTTACACGTCACGCTGCACTAATCTGAAACCAGTCGAGCCGCATAGTTTTGCGAGTGTCTGATTCAGGCTGCTGGGGGATCTGACTCACTGGAAGAAAAAGGGTGGTGCGGTTTAAAAATTGCATGGGGGCGGGGGGGGGTTGCATTTAGAGGTTGCAGGAGTTTGGGTGCCTCTTCCGTACAGTCTCTTTTGCTGATGAAATTTGGGGATACGCCTTCGGTGACAGACGGCTTAAAACTGTGTCTTCTACACCGGACCCCGAACTGAAAACAAACTTGCATGCTGTTCCTTCTTTTTATGTCAATTGGATATATTTGGTTTTATCCTGTGTCGTTCTGATGCTTTCTGCTTCCCCAAAGACAAACCGACCATCCAGCCGCTCGCTACAAAAGTCAGAATTTAGCCCAGGGGAAAAGAGAGAAAAAAAACCCCCTCCTGTCACTAAATCTGGTTTTCATATGATAAGGGAGATGCCTGTCTGTCTGTTCCCTTTAAGGACTCGGGTTTAGCCGTTGTGGCCATCAGGAACTTAATCTAGTTCCTAAATTTCGGATTTCCTTAAGTGTCTGAAGCAAGACAGCTTGCAAGCCACGATTTGAAGATGTGTTATTTCGGTTAAAACGTGGTTCAGATCTTCAGTTTATTCATGTGCTGTATGGCTATAATAGTAAGCTGTGGGATAGTCAAAACAGGACAATTTGTTTTTGAATTTTTCCTCGCAGGGGAGGTTGTTCTGGAAGAAATGCTCAATTCCAAGGCTTTTGTCAGCTCATCCCTTAAACTGTAGTTTAGCGTTCTATGGGAAAGATAGCTTTTAATGACAATGAAATACGGGTAGTCCTCAAATTACAACAGATTGTTTAGTGACCGTTTGAAGTTACAGTTGCACTGAAAAAAAGCGACTTATGACTATTTTTCACATTTACAACTGTTGTGGTTTCCCCGTGGTCATGTGATCAAAATACAGAACACTTGGCAACTGACATGTACTCATGGCGGTTGCAGCGTCCCAGGGTCACGTGATCCCCTTTTGCAAACTTCTGACCCACAAAGTCAATGGGGATTCACTTAACAACTGTGTTACTAACTTAACCACTCCAGTGATTCATTTAACAACTGTGACAAAAAAGGTTGTAAAATGGGGCAAAACTGACTTAACAAATGTCTCGTTTAGCAACAGAAATTGTGGTTGTAAGCCAAGAACTATCTGTAAAATATTTTGAAATAAGCATTTTATTCTTCACATTGTCATTGAAACTGTGAATGGGCATTTTAAATTAAACGCTGAACCTAAAGTAATGCAAACATCTGGTTCCTAATAATTGGATCAATGCTGTGAAAAAGCCGATTATGAAAAAGCGTTCTAAAAATCAGTGGGACTTACAGAATTTGGGGGGAATAATACATGTATGAATGAGGTTAAATGTTACAGATTTTCAGTCACAGTGAAGTGTTAATATCACTTTATAACAACTTGGCAAGACCCCAGCTTTGGTTACCACGATGTAAAAAAGATGTTGAGACTCTAGAAAGAGTGCAGAGAAGAGCAGCAACGATGATTAGGGGACTGGATGCTAAAACATAAGGAACAGTTGCTGGAATTGGGTATGTCTAGTTTAATGAAGAGAAGGATGAGGGGGGACAGGATAGCAGTCTTCCAATATCTCAGGGGCTGCCCCAAAGAAGAGGGAGTCAAGCTATTCTCCAAGGCACCTGAAGGCAGGACAAGAAGCAACGGATGGAAACTAACCAAGGAGAGAAGCAACCTAGAACTAAGGAGAAACTTCCTGACAGTTAGAACAATTAACCAGTGGAACAACCTGCATCCAGAAGTTGTGAATGCTCCAACACTGGAAGTTTTTTAAAAGAGACTGGACAGCCATTTGTCTGAAATGGTATAGGGTTTCCTGCCTGAGCAGGGGGTTGGACTAGAAGACCTCCAAGGTCCCTTCCAACTTTGTCAGTCTCTATTCTGTCTCCCTATGTGTACCCCCCCAATTACACTATATAAGGTCATAATTCCATATAGGTTTGTATGGCAAGCTGTACAGTAAGTGATATCCATTCTGCTAACGAATGAACACAGTGCAGTTGTGTTTTGTTTCAGCAGTTACCAAGAGGCATAGCCTTTTTTTTTAATAACCTCATCCCAAGGTCAGCCTTAAAAATAAATATACTCTAATTATGTTTTCAAAACAGCAAAAATTAAGCTGTGATACGGGGAAGTATATTGTCCCACAAAACCTCACAAATAAATATTTATTGGTACCTGAAAATCAAAACTAGACGTAATACCGTAGTAGCAATCAATTTCATTTTGTTTACTGCTGAATAAAATGAATAGAATAGAATATAATAGTTATTGGAATAGTTATTGGAATAGAATGGAGTGGAATGGAATGGAATAGAAGGAATGAATAGAATGGGATGGAATGGGATGGGATAGAATAGAATAGAATAGTTATTGGAATAGAATGGAGTGGAATGGAATAGAAGAAATGAATGGAATGGGATGGAATAGAATAAAGAATGGAATAGAATAGAATAGAATAGAATAAGGAATTAGAAGAGAAGAGAATAGAATAGACAGATTGTAGAATAAAATAGAATAATAGAATTCAGAATGAATAGAATAGAATTCAGAATAGAATAGAATTCAGAATAGAATAGAATAGACAGATTGTAGAATAGAATAGAATAATAGAATTCAGAACGAATAGAATAGAATTCAGAATAAAGTAGAGCAGAGCTGGAAGGGACCTTGGAGGACTTCTAGTCCCAGCCCTCTGCTCAAGCAGGAGAACCTAGGATATATGTAACTTATTGTGGTAGTAGGAAAGCTTATAGTACCATGGGGAAAAAGATCTCTATTCTCCAGAGCCTTATTTTCTTTCAGATCTGATCCCATTCTCCACCCAGATGTTAATATGCAAATAAGAGTTCTGTCACAATCTTCAATACATAATTATATATTTAGTGACTGAATGACTGCCATCAAATGGATAAATACATGTATTGAACCATATGGATTTAGATTTAAGTTAGCTTTTACATTTCATAAGCAAATTCAGACGGGTTAACTGTCTGATATTTATTGTGAAGTCATGAAGCAGACTGTGA